GCAGCAAGCAAGCCTCCCTGTTCGCTTCAGTGCCTGGCTGCCGGCCGCCATCTTGGCTGACAGTTAATTTGCATATACTCACTGATTAGCCAATGAAAAGGGTAGCGGTCATACGCTAATTACCATGTTTCTCTTTTATTAGTGTAGACTAGAGGCCCGATGCACGAAATTCTTGCAAGTGTAGGCCTTCCTTCTCCCGGCTTCCGGCACTGGCTTTCTTCTGACACCCGGGACCCGGGCTTCCCTCACAGCCCCGCTTTGTCCAGAATGACCTCCAGAAGGAAATCTGGTCTAATTAATATATTACACTTTTTTTATTATAGATGTACTTTTTGCAATATTTGAAATCTTGCATGTATTTGTTTTGAATTTAGGTTTTTTACATTGTTTTACCATGAACCAGGAGGTAATGTTATTCTGAAGAAAAAGGTTTGTGCTATTATGAAGGATAGCTGCTTGAATTCTTTTCCTTCCCAAGGGAATTAGAAATAATAGAGACTGAGTGATATTTAGACAATACTCCTTTTAACACCATTAAAGGCACTCAGGTCTTAATTTGGAATTACCTTGAATTATTGATTGATGTTAGACTTTGGTCAAAGGAATTAATAGATCATGAAGTTGCTTGTCATCCTTTGCCATCATTGATAGTAAAAGCACAAATATCTACAGCAGACTTATCACACTGTAGCACTCAAAAATGAAATTGCCAAATCTTTCATAATTCTGCTTTCAACTTCTTGTAGGATCTCTTCTTTGTGATTTTTCTTTGGGTGCCTTGGCCATCACGGACGACCTCTGGCAATAGAACCTCATGCTCCTACTTTTCCGCCTGTGGCTTTTATGGAATGATTTCTAACCACTACTTGAGTAGAATGAAAGAAGAAAATAAGTGAGCAATCCTTCAAAATGTTTGACACGGCTCAGAAAAATAAAAGCTTCCCTTTATATTGATTGTTGGTAATCACCATTAAATAGTGAAGTTTAGTAATCCACCTGACTGCTGGGGGAAGGAAGATTTATCTTATACTTTAAGTATTAGTGGTCAGTTACACAATACAGTTAATTGTATTATGTACTCAGTTCAATAACTATATATAATTTTAGCTTAATTAGAGCTTTGTATCTACAGTATGAGGTAGTCATGATCTGCCTATATAAATTCCAACGAAAGGACTGCCATTACCTTTTTCTCTCCTGGAAAGGACATTATCTCTCTTTCTCTTTTTTTATTCCATGTACTCAAACATAGAGTCCAAGTTCTTTATTTTTCCTTCCCTTTGTTGAATTATCTCTCTTTCAACTATCTGCTCCCCTTCTGTTTGTCTTGTTCACATTTGAATTCCCATTTCTTCAGTTATTATTACTTCAATAATAAATTAATTATTAATTAATAATAATAATAATAAATTATTTACAATTATAAATAATCTCTCCAGAATGGGACCATGAAGGAGCTGGTCATTTGTAGTAAAGTATAACACTGCCAGGCATTATGATAAGTATATTTACATTTTTCCTTTCCAAAAACCATAGGACATGGATACTATGATTAGCTTCCCATTTTATAGGCCAGAAATGGAGGCACAGAGAACTATATTACAAAGCTAGTAAGGGGCAGCACCAGAATTTGAACCCAGGCAATCTGACTGCAGGATCTATGATATTAACAACTGTGCTGTGGAGTCTTTCATAAATTAAGGGGAGAAAGTATGATTGCTCTTCCCAAAGATCTTGCAATTTACCAAATCATAATAATCAAATGTGAACACAATCTTGTAAAATGTCAATTCCCATAAGTTTTAAATGATTAGAAATAATTTTCCTTTTTTAAAAAAATATTGTTATTGATTTTAGAGCAGAAGGGAGAGGGAGAGATAAAAACACCAATGATGAGAGAGAATCATCTATGGGCTGCCTCCTTTATACCCCCTACTGGGGATCTAGCCCCAGAGAGATTAGAAATGGAACTGTGACCTCGACGCTCAACCACTGAACCACATGAGCTGGCCAAGAAACAATTTTAATTGGCTTTTTTGGCTTACCTTGCTCACTGATAACATAGAAAAATACTTATATTTTATTTATTAATTGATTTAATATTAGCAGCCTATATAATTTCTTTTTGGGGATCTTCACACAACTCGTTCCACTTATGCAGGCAAAATGCAGCTGATATACATCACTATGTATTTAAGTGCAGTGAAATTATTACTTTTATCTTTAAGTAAGCCTTCTATTATTCCTCTGGAATTTCTCTTTTCCAAGTAATGACTCTATTGTTGGTGAGACTTTCCTGATTTATTCATTGACAGCTGCAAAACTGCTTTGCCAGGTTAAAAATAAAATCTGTATTTTGGAAGATACTTATTTTTTAAGCATGAGATGATTTATTTAGTTGCCTGTTTATAACAGCTCTAAGAAAGATGTAACTTTAGGGATATAATTGTATCTCAAATCAGGATAAAGAATTCATCATATTCTTCCATGCTGAGAATTTTATTCTCTTATTTTTGTGATATCCTCTCTGCTGACAAACACTAAACAATGACAAAATGGACTCACATTTCACTTTTTTATTTTATCCTCCTCATATATTTCCTTATCATTGTCCTCCCATCACTCTCCAATGTCATCTAGATAGATAATAAAAATAAAATTATCTATTAGACACCAATGAAGAGCTCAAAACAGCAGTTAAACCCTTCAACCAACCTAACATTCACCAAGATCTGCAATACCTCTGTTTTTCCTGGCTCACTCCATTTCATATTTCTTCTCAAAATAAGTTATCTTCCTATGGGATTCACTGTTACCATCTCAAGGTTTAACTTAGCATGGGGAGAGAAAAAGAAAATTTACAGGTAGGTAATATAGAATTTAAAAAATATTTATGAAGAAATTAATGAATGAAATGCTGAATTGCTTGCCTCACTGCTTTCTGCAAAGGCATTTATTCCTTGAAAAGGCATTTTTATTTGTTTAAGCTACTGCCAAAATTTCTTTCCTATTCTCTCTCTTTTTTAAGATTTTGTATTGATTTTTTTTTAGAGAGAGAGAAAAGGAGAGGGAGAGTGAGAAACATTGATATGAGAGCAGAACATCAATCAGCTTCCTCCTGTATGCCCCCTACTGGGGATCTAGCCTGCAACCTGGGAATTTAAACTGCAGCCTTTCAGTGCATGAAGGATGCAGCCAACTGAGCCAGGGTTCTCTCTTTCTCATCCTTCAGTTTGTAGCTAGAATGATCTTTATACACTACAATATATGCAAATTGAGCATATTTAACAGTTATTAAAATATTAGCACATTTTTTCATTTTCTATATTTTTAAAAATGTTTCAAATATAGTACTGAATAAATGTAATGATGACATTCTTGAGAGCACAGCATATATTTGATACAGATACAAACAGATTAGAGAATGTTTAAGAAGATATGGTCTATTATCTGTCCCTGATATATACAACCTTAATCCTATCTAATAAAGAGGGGAATATGCAAATTGACCATCACTGTGCCACAAAGATGACAGTGCTCATACCCACAAGATGGTGGCGCCCAGTCCCCTCAGCCCCGCCAGAGTCTCCCAGTCCTTTCAGCCCCACCGGGGGGAGGAGGGTGGCAGGAATGTGGTGTAGTCAGAACCGCCCTCAGCCCTGAGACACCCAGGGCCAGCCTAAGGCACAGGCAAGCCTCAGATGTCGGCTGCCCAGCCACCCAGAGTCGGTCCAAGGTGCAGGCAAGCCTCGGATGGTGGCTGCCCAGCCGCCCAGGGCTGCCTGAGGCTCAGGTAACCAGGGCCGGCTGAGGCTTGCGCTGCCAGCAGTGGCAGCAGAAGAGGGGTGATGGGGGCATCGCCTTCCCCTGATCGCCAGGATGCCTCCAACCCCTGAGGGCTCCTGGACTATGAGAGGGGGCAGGCCAGGCTGAAGGACTCCCCCTCCAGTGCATGAATTTTAATGCACCGGGCCTCTAGTTACTATGTAAAATCTCAAAACTCATTACATTTACCTTGTCACATGTGCTTGTCAAGATTTATAGTAGGTTTCACAAGATGTAGATGTATTTGTTTTTGTTTTGAAAATATGTATTTATGGGGAAACCACACCATACTGAATTTAGGGAAAATTGGGTCCTGAACTAGGATCACTGAGTAATCCCAGATTTATCTGGCTCTACTTTCCCACAAAGGCATCCAAGATAGTATGAGTAGATGGTTTCCTGGGTGCTAGAGGAAAGACTGGGGAAGGCAGTGAGGGTCAGCAGGTCTAAGATGGTGACATAATGTAGTTTATCATTCTGTCTTGGTCACTGATCTTAGATGGCTGGGGAAATTAGGATAATTAGTGACTCTGAAATGTCCTACATGTATGCATTAAGATTTGTTGAGCAGGCTGGTGTTCTGGAACATCCTGAGTATCTAAGCCATCATTTTAATCAGAACGATCTTTTTAGGGCTGAAATGAGTGTGAGATTGTCAGTATGTTCTTCCCAAACTGTTTGTCTGGACCCAGAATATGAATGGATTTGCTGAGCCTATAAAAACTTGTTATCATGGCCAATCTTTCTGGACTGTTTGGAGTATTGGCCATACCAAAGTTTCTCTTACATTCTTCTTGATAACTAGCTGAAATCCTGCTCTTCTGGTTAGTTTGAAACTTTAGGAAATCATGTCCTGGGCAGAGGTAGAAGTGTTCATGGATGCAGGCTTCCAGTTAGATCAAGGCTTCTGGGTCTCCTGATCTACCCTCTTGCAGGCCCAACTGACCTTTTTGATTAGGATTTTGAGCAATGGGAGTCTGCCCCCCCGCCTCATCTAACTCCTCCTCTTAAGGTTGGTGACAAGAAACAAGTCCATGCAAAGATGAAACCACAGCTGTGTCTCAGGTAATCTGAATGGTAGTACCTACCTTTATCCTTCTCATACCTCTCTCCCACGTCCCTGAGCCTATGACAACCATATCTAAAATCCTCTTGCTTTTATGAATCCAACAGCTACCCTGCTATACTTTCCTGTCCTTGATACTGAAGGTGATGTGAGTCAGTAGAACTGCTAGACATAAGTTGCTTGGTAGCTGGAGCCAGTTAATCTTGATTCTAATCTCTGCTTGCATTTTATTGCCTAACAGACTCCATGGAAAGAACATAAAGTTTTTTAAGCTAATTTTTCTCTTCTGTAAGGTGGAGAGAGAAATTTTAGGTAAATTGTAGCTTAAATGGTTCCTAGATTCCGTTTATTCCTGGATACCTTCATGTTGCTGAGCATCTGGCAGCAAAGATTAAAAATAGGTAATGTGAGTGAGGCCAGTCAATATCTTCTTGCTGATAGAAAGGGTAGGGTCAGGAATTTGTTTCCCAATTGGAGAAGAGCCTGGGAGGATAATATTCAAGAACCCTGAGAGTGGTACATGGTACATCAGTACATGAAAGATTATGCAGATAGCCTGCTCTACATAGATCTACACAGATCTCAAATTATCTGGGGTGGAGGTGAGGGGTTGACATTAATGTGTTTGTGTTTCAACTTATTGTACATGAAAATTAAGAAAAGCTGGAAAAGGTGAGCAACAAAGTCTGGAAAAATTAGACATTCTATCAATTGTCACCATTTCCTAGCTCCAGAGACTCACTGTTGCTGCAGCAATGCTATTGTATTAATATTTAATTTACTCTTCACCTGTGACATTTTTTAATGGGCAAAGCAACTTTCCCTACCACCTGTTCAAGACTTGCTGGTAACTCCATATTTAGGGAAATAGGGGGAAACTTTTCACTGGAATAAGTCAAAATTAAGTATTGTGTGACCTCTGTTAAATCTAGAAGATTCAAGTTGTTTTGAACCATAGTCTGGAAAAGAAGGTGAAAGATCACTTTTAAGCTCCGTGGTGTATAGGGAATTGCACAGAAATTAATATTGTTGAAAACCTCTAACAAGGAAGTAGTCACACTCTTTTCCTTTTTGTTAATTTTTTTCTGGTGTCATCGTACTCTTCTCAAGGATTTTGAAACATTTTGACCTACATTTTCAAACCTACACTCATTACTGTCTACTTATATTCATCAAATCACCAGTGACTTTTGAGAGTTGAACTCATCTTTACACAGTAGATTTCTTTTAGCTTATGGCTGTTGTTT